TTGTGTGGGTATGACGGTGTCCCAAATAAGCTTGGCCTTGGTGTTCTCACGTACCGCGGGTATCTGATTGGTGTGGTGTATTGGCGGGAAGCCGTAGTGCAGGCATAGCTGATAATAGAGGTTCCTAGCAACACTGTTATGCCGTTCGACATACTGCTACGCTACGGTGGAACTGCAGACGCTAAAGGAAATATGGTTCATAGACGTGGTAGGTAACTGTGGGGTGGGGAAGGTGATTTTTTATCAAATCGTGTTTTTTTGGCCGGTGGCACTCATATTGTATTTTGACACATTGTTTGGCTGGTCTTCTTTTTTTTCTGGGTACGTTTCTGCGAATTTTTCCTTCAGTTACTTTGACCGAAGCTATATCACTTTTTAGTCGTGCAACCCATTTCACATTTCTTTTTTCCTGAAGGGGAAGATTTGCCACATTTGTATCACACCATTCATGAAATGCTGCTTCAGAGACGGTGGAAATTGCTTGTGATTTTCAACACGAAGACATTGTCTGGGTGGAGGAGAATGGTGAACGTATGGTTGGAAGAGTTGTTGATTTACGCATGAGGGTTTGTTCTTCTGATAAATTTCTAATGTAACGACGCTTAATTTAGTAATTACCATTTTTCAACTTAACTGTACTGCAAGTGTTTTTAGGTACTTTTACCTGATTTACCCATAGACGATATGTTCAGTGCAAAGCCAAAGAATTATCAGCAGTATGTTTTGGTGGTGTTTTTTGATAATGCGAGTACCTGGTAAGTTTTTTTCTCAGACTTATCTGAAGACTTACTTTTTCCCCGCAGAGGACATCGCAGCAAACTTGCTTCGTTTGTACAGCAACAGCTTTGTTGTATTTTTAATTTATTTCTAACTAGGATCACAAATATAAGTGAATAAGAGCAAGCTGAACCAACGGAGGCATCAATCCGCAGTGACTAGGTCAATTTGTACATCGAGCCTTCGGTAATCGTTCCTTTTCCAGTCTCAGTGAATGCAAACGCGCTTATTTGAAATTTCATCACTAAAATAAATTCATATCAATAAAAACAATGAAATTTCTCTCTCTAGAAATTTGTTGGGTTGGTGACCAAGGGGCTCGTCGACTACTTCGTAACAGTTCGGGGTGGCAGGGTGCCTGTCCGCGAATCGTCTGGTCGCCTCCACAGTACCACAACACCACGCTGGATCAATACTGCTTTACAATACTGACACAGCGGCCTTATATAAGTCGCTTCTTGCCATTACACGACCTACCTAGGAGGGAGTCATGGTGCAATACATCTAAATGCTGGGCCTGCAGCACTTAAAAATTTATATTAAAGTACTGATTTTAGTAATACCTGCTGCTGCCGTCATCATTACTGCGGCTGCAATTGCTTTCACTGCTGCCGCTGCTGTTATTTTTGACATCGTTGCTGCTGCAGTTGTAGTTAGGATTACATTGTAAATGATACATTTTACGTATTAAATTTGCATCACACATTTTACTTATACAACCTGTTTTGTACTTCTTCAATTTCACTTATTTTCAATTTAATCATATCCTTACAACAGCTTCAATTCTGCAAATAACGCTACAAATTCCTTTCATAACTCTTTTCTTATCTTTCCGTCTTTTAATTATGACTAATCATGAGGCCACTTCTTTCTCATCCTTCCTAAATTGTTCGTTTTATTAAAATTGTTCGCACAACCCACGTAAGAAACCTGTTAATAATGTTCGTGCGCATATTTCACTACTGTTTTTATTATCACTGCTATTCTAATCATTCACCTATGCCGATTGTAACATACAGATTAACCTAGGATGCCGGAGTGTCGAAGGCTCATTGAAAACAGGAAAAGAATGAGGAAACGAGGCAAGAATGAGATAAGACGTTTCGGTCCATTAAGTCATATATGTCTTAACTTTGCACTGCGACAGTACCTCGTCAATATGATGGTCGCAGTGTTTAAGGAAAAGAAGAGATAAGAGGAAGACG